GGCTCCCTGGCAAGGCCCCGCCCCCAAACGAAGCCCCGCCTCCCGCAGATAAGCCCCGCCCACGCAGTAATGCAGCAGCCCATGCTGCTGCAGAAGATGGCTGCATGACCCCCAGCAACATCCTCCAGTGACAGGTAGGCTGGGGGGGGGGTGCACACACGCACACACACACACACACACACACATTGCCCCCATACACACACACTGCCCCCCATACTGCCCCATACACACACACTGCCCCCCATACACACACATTGCCACCTATACTGCCCTCCATACACACACACTGCCCCCTATACACACACATTTCCCCCCATACTGCCCCCATACACACACACTGCCCCCCATACTGCCCCATACACACACACTGCCCCCATACACACACACACTGCCCCCATACTGCCCCTCCCATACACACACACTGCCCCCACTGCCCCCATACACACAGACTGAAACCCCTATACTGCCCCCATACACACACACTGTCCCCCTATACTCTGCCCCCATACACACACACATTATTCGTTCCCCATGGCTAGTTTTCCATACACACACACTGTCCCCCATACTGCTCCCCCTATACACACACTGCTCCCCCATACAGCCTCCCATACACACACACTGTCCTATACTGTGCCTTATACACACACACTGCCCCCATATCAAGCTTCATACACACACACTGTGCCTCTTACACACACACACTGCCCTCTCTATAGGTACACACTGCCCCTATATAGTCTCCTCTATACTTCAGCCCCTATATAGACACACACATTGCTCCCCCCATATTGCCTATACACACACACTCAAAGTTTCATACACATTAGACAGCTGTTACTAATACTCAGCCTTTATACACACACACATCACTCTCTATACATTAATATTACTGCTTCATATTACTGTTTCTATAATAGCAGATATTTTCACACACTGCCTCTATACACACACTTTGCTCCTCTATATACACATACATCTCTACATCTATTCTCATACACACACACTGTATGGACTCAGCAGTCTGTGTGTGTGTGTGTATGGAATCAGCAGTCTGTGTGTGTGTAGCGGAATCAGTAGCCTGTGTGTGTGTGTATGGACTCAACAGTCTGTGTGTGTGTGTGTATGGACTCAGTCTGTGTGTGTGTATGGAATCAACAGTCTGTGTGTGTGTGTGTGTGTATGGACTCAGCAGTCTGTGTGTGTGTGTGTGTGTGTGTGTATGGACTCAGCAGTCTGTGTGTGTGTGTGTGTGTGTGTGTGTATGGACTCAGCAGCTGTGTATGTGTGTGTGTGTGTATGGACTCAGCAGTCTGTGTATGTGTGTGTGTCTGTGTATGGACTCAGCAGTCTGTGTGTGTGTATGGACTCAGCAGTCTGTGTTTGTGTGTGTGTGTGTGTGTGTGTATGGACTCAGCAGTCTGTGTGTGTATGGACTCAGCAGAGTGTGTGTGTGTGTGTGTGTGTATTGACTCAGCAGAGTCTGTGTGTGTGTGTGTGTGTATGGACTCAGCAATCTGTGTGTGTTTGTATGGACTCGGCAATCTGTGTGTGTGTGTATGGACTCAGCAATCTGTGTGTGTTTGTATGGACTCAGCAATCTGTGTGTGTGTGTGTGTATGGACTCAGCAGTCTATCAATAATTAAAATTCCTGTGAGTTGTTGTGTAGGAAGGGCCCCGGTGCATTGCTTTGGCCAGGGGCCCTTAACTCTGTTAAAATGGTACTGCTTGTGTGTGTCAGTGAGCTTCTATTTAGTGAGCATGTGTGTGTCTGTGAGCTTGTCTTTAGTGAGCTTGTGTGTGTGTCCCTGAACTTCTTAGTGAGCCTTCTGTTTATACAAGTGAGTGTCTGTAGTAAGCTTGTGTGTGAGTCAGAGAGTTTTGTCTGTCAGTAAGCCTATTTGCGCATGTCAGTGAGCTTGTGTGCTTACTGTACTATATATATATATATATGATATATATATAACTAGTAGGAATGGCATACGTTTTTTTTTCCAGGGCTGCTTTGGATTCCCAGGGATTCCCAGTTTGGCTCTGCCAGCGAGTGCACTTTACCGCTGAATAATCTGTGTGAGCTGCCGCACACTTTAGCCCTGTTACACGCGTCTGGGAGCTGCTGTTGACAGGTACTAGTAGTCTAGAGATTGGGGTATATGCTCAGCTATCTGTATAATACAAATCTGTGTGTATAAAATATCCCGGGATAGTCAGTGCTTCCTGTATAGTGCTGCTCTCTGTCTTGGGATATTATACACAAACAGACCTGTATTATACAGAGAGCAGCACTATACAGGGAGCACTGAGTGTCCCAATTTATTATACACACAACCCTGTATTATACAGAGAGCACTGACAGTCCAGGGATATTATACCCAGACAGTAATTGATAGCTGTGCTGCAAAATGTCCTTGGAATTTGTTTTTCAAATGTTGGCAACTATGGCACTGTATCAAGGATAATGTGCTTGTTTTTTTTAATAATCCCTGGTGGAAAATAATGAATCCTCCACCAGGTATTATTAAAAAAACAAAACACATTGTGTCGGGGGCATGGCTTAACATGCGACAGGGGCGGGGTCAAACTGCGACGAGGGCGGGGTTAAATGTGCCCCCCTACTTTTGTCACTGGCCCTCCATGTGCCCCCCCTGAAAAATGAATCCTAGAGACGCCACTGATACACAGGATCAATAAGTAACTGCATGTACTTCAAAAATTGTCACGTCTCCATTCTTTGTACTTTGTTCTTCTAGAAGGATAGCACAATACTAAGATGAGAATTTTTTAAGAAGGTTTTCTTACGTGTAAACTAATAGTCTTAAAAATGTGTGAAGATGAAAGTGTAAAAAAAAAATAAAAAAAAAAAAATCAGATTTATAGCAAGATTAAGCAATTCACACTATGTAGCAAAATAATTCTATGCTGATGTGTCTGATGGCTCATTATGAACTCCAAATTCCATTGAAACAAATGTACAGTGTTAGGGGGATGACACACTAACGCTTTTCCCAAGGCCTATTCTCATGTTAAGCCATTTTCTGTATTTTTTTCGTCATAATCATAATCTAGTGTCTTATTGATCTATTAAGAAAAAAAGGATGACTTTTGACAGATAAGTTCTGTTTTTGTTTTTTACATGGGCATCTATTACAACTTCTGAAATTGAGGAGACCAGCCTGAGTAAAAAGAGAAACAGCCTCTCTGCTAAGAACTAAACCAATGAGACCATGAACAAAATACAGAATTTGCTTAGAAGTGATAACAGAAAAATGTGTATGGCAATAAACATGTCAGGACATATATAAATGTATGAGAGATGCGTCAGATAATTGTACGTCATCGCAGTCTGTTCCTTACTACTAGGAATGGGTGTGATTTACAATATTTCTGAAGAAAAATAATTCACGTGAATTTTTGGCGTGTGAATTTACACACAATTAACCTTTCTGGTCACGGAAGATTATTTTTGGTAAAAAATAAAAAACAAATTTGCATGCAGAAAAAAATGCTGAAAAATATTATATTTAATCCCATTCCAGTTCTCACATCTTGATTCTTTTATTAACAAAATGTCAACCAATCATAGATAATGAATAATCATCAACCTTAATAATAATTGGTAAATACAAATAGTTTTAAGATTAGGCCTAAGGGTATGTCATGCACGCATTAGTAGACTCTCATGTAGCCCATGGAGCAGTGTAGCTAAGGGGAGTGGGCCTTGACATTGCCAGGAGACAGGCCATATAAAGGTCAGGAGGTCAGGGTTTGGTCACTGGTAATGCTGGGGTGGAGTTTCAAGGGGAGTATAAGTAGTGGCCATTTTAGATACAAGGATCACTTTAATCTAAGTTACACTACCTGTTTCTTGTGGCAGGATTTGTGTGGCTGTTTTCTTTGTTTCCTCTGCAGGTCACCAAGATGGAAGATTGTCTGGAAATAGTCCGGGCTGCTGTGCAGGAGAAGGGGATCGTGTGGCTCAGGGATCGCCTGGGTGATGCTCTGCCATCCGGTTCTGGAGGTTCCCAGGGTCAGAGGCCGGTCAGGAAGACCAGGCCTCCGCAGCGGTTGAGCCCCAGTGTGGTTCCCGGGCCCCGACGTCATAAGAGCCCTTCCGGAGGTCCCAATGGTGGTGAGGAGAGTGCCGGCGGGGAGACCGCAAGTGGAGGAGGTCGTGGACGGCGTCGCGGCGCAACCGCGCGAACAAGCTGTCAAGCGAGGCTGGAGGTGCAGGCTGCTGGTTCGGGAACCGAATCGGAGACTGCCGAACGTTTGGGAGGCGAACGTGGAGGTATGCGAACCAGCAAACTGGTGGAAACTGCCGAACGTTCGGGAGGCGAACATGGAGGTAGGCGAACTGGCGAATGGGAGACAACTGCCGAACATTCGGGAGCCGAACGTGGAGGTACTGTTACTGCAGACCGTTCGGTTCCCAAACGGGGAGGTGAAAGAACTGCCGAACGTTCGTTTTTTGTGTCTTCTTTTGCAGAGAATGAAGGAGAAGCGGCCGCAGGTGATAGGAGTCCTGGAAAGGGGCCTGGACAAGCACGGGCCAGTGGAAGAAGGATGACCGGTACAGCAGGCTTGGCAGCAGGTCACGGGAACGATGGAAGCGCTGTTGGAGGAACAGGGACAACGGCTATACACCGTCCGGGTGAGTCGACCTCTGACGCCAATGTCCCACAAATGGCTGGGCCGCGGGTTACCCCGGGGGTGGACCCCGGTGTTGGCTTGGCTAGTGACGGCAAGGGGGCAAGAGGCAGACAGGGGACGGCTAAGGCACGGAGCAGTCCAGAGGGGTATAGCGCAGCAAGACTGAACAGAGGGTCATCAGGCAGCGGACGGGAGCGCAGCGCTTCCCCCTGGGTTTTCCTATACGACCGGGGAAGGGACGACGACAGGCGAGGCTGGTAGTTAGGGGAGGATCGGAAGGGAGTGACGGCGCCGAACAGCACAGAAGGTTGGCACCAGCGAAGATGACAGCGCGCAGGGCTAAAGCGAAGGGAGGGACCGGTCACGAAGCAGCCATCGGAGGGTAGCTGACGTAGTTGACAGGGACCCCCGCGGGGTGGACCACACCCGGGGGAGGCATAGGGTGCCCCGTGTCGGTTCAAGGGGATGGTCGCAACAGGACGGCAGTTCCACGAGCGGGAGTTCCCCGGAGAGGAGGCGGGCTGCTGTGTAGGCTCAAGGACCGGGGCGGCTAGCAGGGAGATGGGGGACTGTTCCCAGGACGAGAGGGGACGGGGCAGGGTTTCTGCGGCCAGCCTACCCAGGATGTCTTCTCCTTACAGGTTTCGAGGACGGTCACCCTTGGAGAGGGAGAGATCCCACGCGACAAGGACAGCAGGATGGTCGCCGGCATGCAAGGCGGACCTGGTTACAGGACAGGCGTCTTTCAGGTCCCCCGCGGATCGAGTGAGACCCAGCGCATCAGGAGCACGGCCCGGAGCAGCGGGACGCTTGGGGCAGGAGATCCACTATCGGTCAGCAACCCCACGGCCTTTGGCGGCAAGGGGTGCGGAAGGTGAGACATGGTCGTTACAACAGTCGGGGGAACTGCTAGATGACATTAGGCAGTTAAATGATTCCTGGGGTGTAGGGAGAAGGAAGGAGTGCAGTCAGGTTTGGGCTCGGGTGGGAGAGGTCTCAGGGGCTAGTCCGGTGAGGGTTTCTGGGGCCAGAGGCAGCACAGTTGGGGACGGGGGTGCGACCCCCACAGTAGAGGCGCCTGGGTTGGCGAGTGAGAGGGAGAGCTTATTGGGGGGCGTCCCAGAGGCCGCGCGGCAGAACGTTCATGTTTCTTTCGCAGGCCCACTGGGCTGTCATTTCAAAATGGAGGTTAAGGAGAGGATATGGAAAGGGGAGTTCGTGGAAATCTTTTTGCTTCTCCCCCTTGAGGACTACATTGACCTCAAGGAGGAGGATAAAAAGGATGCCAAAAAAGAGGAGGAGGAAAAGAAGCGGAGGTATAGGAAGATACCGAAGACGTTTGGGAACTGGCTGAGGGCATTTTGCATCTTGGCCAGCGTGATTGGCGAAAAGGCGGAAGAGCGCTGTTCGCAGCTCTTCTGTTACCTGCTTGGTATTTGGGAGGCTTATTGGACATACGGGGGTCTGGCCTGGTGGCGGTATGATGAGCAGTTTCGTCAGCGCCTGGCTGCTAATCCGGGGATGCGGTGGGACCAGATGGACCTACCCCTCTGGATAAAACTTATGATGGCGCAGAAGGCCTTTCAGACAGGGGCCAGCACGGGCGCGTCTACCGCAGTGTCAGCCAACCAAATATGGGGCTACTGCTGGCTGTATAATGAGGGACAGTGCAAGTGGGGGGCCACTTGTCGATTCAAGCACGAGTGCTCTGGGTGTGGAGGCACCCACAGACTTCACAGGTGTTTCAAAAAAGGGAAGCCAGCCTCCACAGCAGGGGTACCTGGAGGTTTCGGCAGGGTCCCCTGTCTCTGGGGGCCACACCAGTGAAGGTCGGCGCGATGCGGTTGTGGCCAAGCCACTACGCTAACAGGGAAGATGTGGCGTTGCTTGATGAGGGGTTCACCAACGGGTTCGTTATCCCGTTTTGGGAGCGAGTGGTGGCTCATCGTCTTCGCAACCTGAAGTCGGCCGGGGAATTTCCAGGGGTGGTTAGGGAGAAGTTGCATAAGGAGGTTCAGCTGGGCAGGGTGGCGGGGCCGTTCAGGGAGCCCCTGTTACCCAACTTGACAGTATCACCACTTGGGGTGATACCCAAGAAGGAGCCCGGCAAGTACCGCCTGATTCACCATCTGTCCTACCCCAAGGGGTCGTCAGTTAATGACGACATAGACAGGGCCCTTTCTTCAGTTTCGTACGCTTCGTTCGACCAGGCGGTGAACCTGGTGCAGCGAGCAGGCCGGGGGGCGCTGTTGGCGAAGGCGGACGTGGAGGCGGCTTTCCGCCTTTTGCCGATTCACTCGAAGTGCCATCACTTGCTGGGTTGTCACTTCGAGGGGGAATATTACGTAGATCTTTGTTTGCCCATGGGGTGCTCTATATCGTGCACGTTATTTATTTATATTTTGCACATTCCTGGAATGGGTGGTAAAACTGGAAGCGGGCAGTAGGATGGTAGTCCATTATCTGGATCACTTCCTATGCGTAGGGCCTCCTGGGTCGGAGGAATGTTGCAGGGGATTGAGCACACTGGAATGGGTGGCGCACGTGATTGGAGTCCCCCTGGCAAGTGACAAAACAGTGGGGCCTACGACCTGTCTGAGTTTCTTGGGCTTGGAGATCAACTCGGTAAAGGGGGAGTGCAGGCTGCCACAGGACAAGTTACTGGCACTCTGGCAGGTGGTGGCGGAGGTGCGGAGAGCTAAGAAGGTTACGCTCCGGGCGCTTCAGTCTCTGCTCGGTCGGCTAAACTTCGCCCGTCGGGTGATCCCGGTCAGACGGGTTTTTAACAGGTTCCTAGCCAGGGCAACGGCGGGGGTGGTGTTCCCGCACCACCTTATTCGGGTATCAGGGGCCATGAAGGCTGACTTGGACATCTTGGGGGAATTCTTGTGGGATTTTAACGGGAAAGTGTTCTTTCTGGAGCCAGCGGCGTCTTCTCAGGAGTTGGAGCTGTTTACGGACGTGTCGGGGAGTGTCGGGTTTGGGGCTTACTTTTCGGGTCAATGGTGGGTACTTGGCCAGGGGCCTGGAAGGCCAGCCCGCTGATGCGCAACCTAGCGTTCCTGGAATTGTTCCCGTTGGTAGTGGTGCTGTCACTATGGGGTCCACAGTTGAGGGACAAGAAGGTGGTATTCTTTTCGGACAATATGGCAGTGGTAGATGCAGTGAACGGGCTATCAGCATCCTCTATCCCGGTGGTGCGGCTTCTTCACCGTTTTGTCTTGTTCTGTATGAGGTTTAACATTGTGTTTTGGGCGCGCCACGTGCCGGGACTGTTGAATGTCATTGCTGATGCGTTGTCTCGTTCACAGTGGGAGAGATTTCGGCAGGTGGCACCTGGCGCACGGGAGGAAGGGATGTCTTGCCCGGACGAGATGTGGCGGCTCGGGACATCATGCTTGGCGTACTGATCAGGGATTCCCAGGCACCTGCTACCTGGGCGGCATACAGTAAGGTGTGGGGGGAATGGGACGAACTGGTGCAGCAGACAGGGGGTCAGGTCTCAGAGGAGGCGCAGTTGGATGCGCTGCTGTGGCTCTTGTGTAGGTCAGTTACCACAGGGGTTTCGGCAGCGGTGATGGGGCATAAGCTGGCAGCGCTAGCGTTTTTGTTCAAATTTAACGGGTGGGAGGATGCTACCAAAAATGTTCTGGTTAGACAGGCACTGAAAGGTTTCAGGAGGGGTAAAGTGTCAGTGGATACTAGGAGGCCGGTGTCGTTCGAATTGCTGCAGCGTGTGGTCAGAGTCCTGCCCGCGGTGTGTTTTTCAGGATACGAAGTGACGTTGTTTTCCGTGGTTTTAGTTTTGCCTTTTTTGGGGCATTTCGGGTCAGCGAGCTAGTTAGCAGCAGTCGCCAAGGATCTGGGGGACTTCAGGCGATGGACGTGGAAGTGTGGAGCAACAAGGTAGTGATTAACCTGAGGCGGTCCAAAATGGATGTAATGGGGAAAGGAACGTTGGTTACGTTGTGGGAGCTCCCGGGTGGGAGAACTTGCCCGGTTAAGTGTGCAACGGCCTTCCGGGAGGTGCGGGCAATGGCCGGGGGTTCATATTTCAGCATGAGAATGGCTCTTCGCTATCGAAGTTCCAGTTCCTCTGGGTTTTTCGGAAGGCGTTGGCAAGGTTGGGTGTGGACCCGGGCCAATTCGGGACACATTCTTTCAGGATTGGTGTGGCTACTGAAGCGGCGAGACTAGGTTTATGTGACGAACGGGTGAAAAAGGTTCAGGTCTTACATTAGGCCAGACAAGTTGGTTTAAGTTGGAGGATGAAAAAGGGGGAATGTTGGTGGTTGTTTTGTGGTTGTCTATGTTTGCTTTATGTTTTACAGGTCGGATGGCATGGGTGGTCGGCCACTCATGCGTACACTGGGCTCAACGGAGAGCTGCAGTTCGATGTCACGGTCTACAGCTGGGCGTTCTGTGGTGCAGCTTCGGTGGTTTGGTTACCGGGGCTGTGGTTGGAATCTTATATGTGAGGAAATGTTTCACAAAATTCTTTTGGGACAGGTTCCGGACATAGTGGTGCTTCATGCAGGGTGCAATGATGTGGGGTCGTTACGGCAAAAGGTCCTGCTCGAGTGTATGAAGAGGGATGTGGACAGGTTAAGGGAGTTAGTGCCATGGGTTATGGTAGTATGGTCGGAAATGGTTCCGAGGTTGTACTGACGGCATGCGCGGAATCCCTCCACGGTGGCGAAAATTACGGGTAAGGTTAACAAGGTGATGGCAGCGTACGTGAGTCGGTCAGGGGGGGTTGTGATCAGGCACAGGGAGTTGGAAGACATGCTCCCAGGTTATTATAGGAGTGATGGGGTCCATCTGTCCGATGTGGGTTTGGACTTTTTGTTGCTGGGTTTCCAGGAGGGCCTCCAGAGAGCACTTTTTTCCATAGCGGGATGGGGGGGGTTTCGCTCAGGAGCTCGAGGAGTCGCACTCTGAGCTGTGGCGGGGGATGGAAAGTAAAGTTGGGGGGAGAAAAGAGTGAGATGTGGAAAAAGTTTGGAGTTCAGGGCTAATAGGTAGGCCTTTGGACTGGTTTCGTAGGTTCGAGCTCGTAGGTAGCTCCGAACCGGGGTGTGTATAGGGTGTCTCGGTATGCCCCTACACTTGTGGTGCCCTTTGGTGGCAATGGATGGTGCCCTTTGGTGGCAATGGTCATGTTCATGTTAAATAAAATGTTCAATGTTTGGGTGTTATGTTATGTGGGGGTGGGTCATTGTCAAAGGGTTAATTGTAAATGCAGGATGTTAATTGTGCAGGCCAACGTTGGCCTGCTGTTGACAATGATCTTTAAATTTATGTTAATTACAAATAAAGCTGTGATATAATTTTGCCAAAACCATGGTGTTTGTGCTCTATTGGGGATTGGGGTATTTGGTGGGGGTTCTTAAGCAGAGGCCGACAAGGCAACTGTGCTCATGTCAAGGAGTACGTTAAATATTTATTTTTTGTTCAATACAATTCTTACTAAATTCTATACATCTTATTCATCAATACATAAATATTTTAGTACAAATGCATCTTGTTTGGTCACTTTGCTTGAGGTATGAGTCATTTCAACTTTTTTTTGGTTAATGTTTGCACATATGTTTTTTTGTGACGCTAGGGCGGTATTTCTTTGTATAAAGAAAACAATATTGCAGATTACGAACAATGAAAAAACACTGACTGGAACTTTGAATGTCACACTATTTGAACAGGGAACATGGGGAGACAATGTTTCCGGAATGCAAGAGAATAGACGTATCTGGGATCTTACTTAGACGAATGAGACAGGAGACTAACTCCTGCCTGTTCACTTAAATGGAGATAATATAGTATTTATTCTGCATTATTCATCAGTTTGTGGTGAGTGCAAGAATACTTAAAGAATCCTCCAGGCTATATTTGACCTCATATTTAATGCATTACAGACCATGCCTTCACTATATGCAAAAATATTAAAATATATTTCAGTTTTCACAAATGCAGTTTCAAACGTGGGATTTGCAAATATGTTAAATAGTATCAGCGCTTAGGCAATCTTCCCCTCAAAGAGATTGTGGGGGGGAAAAATGCAACAAATACAATTTCTAAATAGTGAGAGTCCCAAAGTCAATGTTTATAATAAAAAAAGGATATATTCCAAGGTTGCAGAGGGTATGATGTAGGATAACACAGAGTTCTGTATTGTTACTTTGTACTTCCAATCTCCAGTCCAAGGGAAACTAAATAGGCACCTTTGAGACAGGAAATAAACAAATATAGTGTAACACGGTTTATTAATAAATAAAAAAAACCCTATGGAATCCCTTTGTGGAACTCTTACACAAAATAGATGTGGTGCTTATTTCTAAGGACCATAAACCGGTATATGGTGCAGTACAGTATGAGGATTATGACTGGGTTAACATTTCTATGGTGTGATGCTCGAGTTGCTCCCGTGCACTGGAGCCAACAAAGACCTCAAACACCTCGGGAGGACGCCAACCCGTGATCTTGTGGTACTTGCTTCCAAGCCTCCAATTCTGACACTGCCGCCAAAACAATCTATGCGTTTCAGACTGGGCTTTCTCAAGATAGGTTGCCGCGGCGGTACCAATGCAAATAAATACCCTTCACGTGGATGAAGTTATCAGTGCTCGTAAAGGCACATCTCTTGTAACAGTTCTAACATGTGTAAAGTTTGTTAGATCAATGTCCGTAATTATGTGTTTCCATAGAAAGGTATAAAGTCAATATGTACATACAAACATAAAAAAATACATAAGAATAAACATATACATATACATAAATAAACATGTAGATTTAGTCGCTGTTACTGAGACATGGTACAATGAGAAAAATGACTGGGACATAGCAATACCAGGGTACTCTTTATATAGGAAAGATAGGGAAGGCAAGAAAGGGGGAGGGGTGGCCTTGTATGTGAAGGATAGCATAAAATCTAGCCTAATAAAAGTTAGTGAGGCAAACATAGAGTCCGTTTGGGCTACGTTAGAATTTGGTAATCACACAGTAACTCGTGTAGGTGTGATTTATAGGCCCCCAGGACAAATTGAAGAGTTAGATAATCTACTAGTTGAGGAAATAGCTAAAATGACAATGAAGGGGGAAGTTATCATCATGGGTGACTTTAATCTTCCTGATGTAAATTGGAAAACAAAATTAGCTACTTGTGCCAGGAGCACACATATTCTAAACTCCCTACTGGGATTGTCTCTAAAACAAGTTGTTGAGGAGCCAACTCGTAAAGAGGCCATACTAGATTTAGTGTTAACAAATGGAGATTTGGTATCAGATGTTACTGTAGGTGAAAGTTTAGGATCCAGTGATCATCAGTCAGTGTGGTTTAATATAAGAACAGTGACTGAGTCACACCACACAAAAACAAAAGTTTTAGACTTTAGAAAAACAGACTTTTCTAAAATTAGAATATGGGTAGAGGAGTCATTATCAGACTGGAGCAATTTAAATGGAGTCCAAGAAAAATGGGATTTTTTTTAAAAGTTGCAATATTGAAGGCAACAGAAAATTGCATTAGGCTTGTCAGCAAAAGCAAAAAATTCAAGAAACCACTGTGGTACTCCGCAGATGTGGCCAAAATAATTAAAAACAAAAAGTTAGCATTTAGGAATTATAAAAAAACCAAGAGTGAGGGAGACAAAATGATCTATAAGATTAGGCAGAAAGAGGCTAAGCAAGTTATAAGAGCTTCCAAATCACACACAGAAGAGAAAATAGCACAGTCAGTAAAAAAGGGGGATAAAACATTTTTAGATACATAAATGAGAAAAGAAAAGTAAAACAAGGATTAGTTAGATTAAAAACAAAAGAAGGTATGTAGAAGAGGATAAAGGTCAGGCTGACTGCCTCAATGAATATTTTTGTTCTGTATTTACAGAAGAAAATGAAGGAAAGGGACCTCAGTTGAGAAAAAGGATAAATGAGTCATTTATTACACGTGAGTTTGCAGAGGAAGAGGTTCTATTTCAACTGTCAAAAGTAAAGACAAATAAGTCAATGGGACCTGACGGAATACACCCAAAGCTATTAAAAGAGCTTAGTGGTACTAGCAAAACCATTAACAGATTTATTTAACCAATCATTGTTAACAGGAGTAGTCCCAGAAGATTG